GAGAGAGAGAGAGAGAGAGAGAGAGAATCACCATAATGAGAGCCCAAGATCGAACGCGATGAGAGAGAGAGAATCGCCATAACAAGAGCCCAAGACCGGACGAGACGGCAACGCGCATGCGCCCACGCGCACGCGCGCGCGCGCGCGAGAGAGAGAGAGAGAGAGAGAGAGAGAGAGAGAGAGAGAGCCACGAGAAAGTCACGAGAAAGCCACAAGAGAGAGAGAGAGAGAGACGAGGGAGCCACAAGAAAGTCACAAGAAAGCCACAAGAAAGTCACGAGAGAGGCACGAGAAATCCACGAGAAAGTCACAAGAGAGCCACGAGGGAGAGAGAGAGAGAGAGAGAGAGAGAGAGAGAGAGAGAGAGAGAGAGAGGGACTTACCTGCTGGCTGTCGGCTTCCTCGTCGGGGGCTGGCTGCAGACCCTTGCGGCTGCTGCTCTCGACGATGGCTGCTGGGCGGCAGGGTGGACTCCAGCGGACGAAGGGAGGACGCAGCCCGCTCCGAAAACTGGCAGCAGCGGCGGGCGGGAGATTCGAAAAGGTGCTGTGAAGTCCTGTCGTAGTAACCTGAGTCCAGTCCTTCCACGGTTCCACCCCTGTCCGGTAGGCCGAAAAAAAAGAAGAAAAAAAGGGCCTATATTTTTCAGGGGGCGCCCGGGACCTGAAAAATGTCCTGGGCAGCCCCCTTTTTTTTGTTTCCTTTGCCTGGGGGCTGTTTTCCGGATGTCCAGGACCGGACACCGGACCCCTGCAAATTGCACCGGACTTCTCTGGAAACCGGTCCGGACGTCCGGTCGGTTACCATGGGCGGTACACACGCTTTGTTTTTTTCTTGTCGGCATTTTTGTGCATGCCAAGCACTGTAGCAAGGTCACAGTATTGCTCCCCCCCCGAAAGAAAGAAGTACGGAAAACACGAGGCCGCTACAGTGATTTTGAAATAAAAGAAAAAGGAACAAATGGTGAAAATACATAGGGTGCCAAAACTTTCTCTTTTTCTGAATCTGTTCAAAACTCAGAATGCTGCCCTATTTCCCCTCCATCTATGGCGTGTAGGAATCCAACTCTGTCACATGTGATTGAAGACCGAACTCTGTCACATGTGATTGAAAACCGAACTCTGTCACGTGTGATTGAAAACGGTACCTACATGGTATAATACGGCGCTGGTGGGTCCTGGCCCCAGGACCTTCTGACTCCTCATGTCCTTGGCTGCCTGCCATCTGTCGGGCATTTGTTTCCAGCTTTCTTTTCTTTTCTTTTCTTTTCTTTTTGGAATAACTTGCAATATACCCCCATAAGTTGAGATATATGCCAAAATGCCCCTAAAAGATGTGGGTAGAGCGGAATGCCCCTCTGACAAAATAAATAGATTGTGAAATACCCCTGGTGTCGGTTGGACCCCCATCTTTGCAATATAACCCTACCGGGTACCATCCAACTTTGCAAAATGCCCCAGTACTTGACAACTTTTCATAGGCGCTCTTGCAAAAGGCCAAGGCCCAAACGGGGGGGTCCAGATTGCAAAGTTGCACACCC